ACAACTAATTTATAATAATCGTCATTCGCACCTGTACATAACTACAGTATAAAAAGGTTTTAAGCGCTTGAATAAAATTGAATTCTCCCTGTTTTTTGGTACGGCAAACTTAACTCAGGTGCCTCTCAAGTGAGAGGGCGAACCTGGTAGGAAATGCATCTAACTTAAGTCACGTCCAAAGATAATCAGAAGAGGATACCATGATTATTAGTTACGTTATACACCGCACAACGTCACCTTTTAATTTACAGTGTGTATGATTTATTCGACAAAGATCGTCGCACCACTCTTCGCCATACCACAGAAGTCCCATATTATGTGTGCGATGATTAGGTAGTTGTTATAGGAATGAACAACGATAAGTCACTATTGATGGATGTTCGGTCCTAACTGTTTACTTATTTCTGCCCTATCACGCTTTTGGCTTACGTCGACTATACGCTCATTTGCATCGACTATTCAAGAAGATCATAATATGGTTTCAGCAGAGATTAGTGTAAACTTAGCATTGCTTTACATTAAAAGAAATAAAGGGTGCAAATATTAGATCGGGAAATTAACAATAGGGTCCAAATTATAGATATACAGTAATCAAGCCATCGGAGACAACAATATTATATATTCATCTCACGGTCTCCTCCAGGAATCAATGGGCTGTCTTTGCAATGTGAAGCAGCGGGCTCTAACTAATGACAATCTATCAATTAATGTCACAATTATTGTTTTGGTCTTTGAAATCCATCCCAAAATGTCCACCCCAGTCTCTATAAGTTCAGTTAAAATGTCTTGTTTTGTCAAAGCCTGAAATATTCAGATATATATAGAATAAAACAGAGAAATATGCTATTTATGAGTAAAAAAATAATTTCTGCATGAAATTGTATATAATGAAAGCCATCTCGCCAACAGTGTGAACGAGTAAAGTCACTTTCAGAATATTTAACAGCAGAATCCTCAGTGATGGTTTTCTACTGTGGGAAATCCTCCTTTCCCGTCCTTTGTCTGTTTCATTTAAGAGTCTCCTGTTATATATTTTCACCAGCGATCTCCCCATATCCCTCCTCTATCCGTCTCTCACAGCCTCATCGAAAGAAGAAGTCGTTCATTGAGAAGAAGAAGGCGGTGACCTTTCACCTCGTGCACAGGAGTCAGAGAGACCCGCTGGCTGCCGATGAAAAAGCCCCTCAGCACGTCCTGCTGCAGACCGGAAAGGTACACTTTAATAATAATCTTTATTTGTATAGCACCTTTTCATACAAAGTGCTTCACATAGACATTTCACAGAACATTGATATTACACAGAATACAGTTACCAGTAAAAGACATAAGAACAAACTAAAAATAGCAAATGGTAGACATGTAAAAAACACATTTTAGATTAAAGGTACAACGATGAAATTGTGCAATAAGAGGGGGATAGTGCAAATTCAACACACAATCAGATGACAGGTTAAAATGAATTGAAAAAGTGCAACTTTAACTGTGTTTTCTTTTATTAAATGTCATTTTACTCTCTGTTCATAACTGGCATATAAAAAAGAAGATTAACCTCTGGGATTCATTCGCTTTTTGACTTCAGGCGCAGTAAGAAAAGCATTGAACGTGCAGCCCCTGGTTGGGAATGTGTTAAGAGCACTGTTTTAACTTTACATTACATGTTAGTCACTTTTATCCAAAGCGACTCACATACATTCAGTACTGTGAGCAATCAGAGCAAGTGTCTTGCCCAGGGACACAACGACATGCTGACTGCAGTGGGAGTGGGACTCAAACTTGCTACGCCCTGATTCCAAGTTCAGCGCACTACCCACTGAGCCACAGCCATCCCTTTAAGATTATTAAGAAGCTGTAAGAAGTTCAAACTCTGCTTGTTTTCTGTTATCTTTCCTGTCTTGTTAATATCAAGCAGCTGCTCAGATGTATTTAGCAGCCACTTAAATGTTGACACAGACAGCATGTATTGTTATTACATCAATATTTTGATATGAAACTAGTTGTAGTCTCAGATTTCTGATATCGTCATATTACAAAAGTGTAATTTCCTGGCTTAACAAGCTAATCAGATAATGTCGTTTTCTGAACTACTTTTCTAGCTTTTCTATGAATGTAATATATAAACATGTCATTGTAAACAGTCAACCCTAACATAATGTTGCAATATCAATATATGTGATTTTCTCATGAGTTGGAAACGTCTTATCAAATCAATTCAAAGTGTATTCATATACAAAACATGTTGGTGTTAGTGGGCCTTACAGATGAACAAACATTCATTACAGAGCTAAGAGATAAATACAAATACAGGATAATAATCAAAAGACAAGATAGTGTAACATACAAATATAATGAGACAATAAAATACCATGAAATGTCGGACCCAGCAGGCAAACATAGGGAATAATCTGAGAGGAGGATGTGGCACTTCACCTCAAATGGCTCCTGAGGGAATCGCCCAAAGTATTGAATGAAGTTGCTTTGGATAAGAGTTTCTAACAAGTGACATGTCATGTAATCTGAAACCAGCTCTAACTATAGTCTTTATAAGAAAGCCTCTCTTGATGACTTTGCTTCCTTTGTTTTTATACTTTTTATTTATCAGCTTATTTCATTTAACAGCACTTTGCTCAGACTATTAACTCTTATGTCTACGCACAGTATGAGCAGAATCACAACAGAAACAATACGGACTAATTAAAGGTCTCCTGTCATCCTGCCACTCGACCCAGATCAGCGTTTCTCTCACAGGGCTGGAACAGAGGGGTATGAGGGACTGAGACCCATAACATATGCCTAAAAGTAGCATGATGGGAGATCTTGAAGCTGAAAGTCAAAATGAAAGACATATATATCTTGTGTTGTTCCTCAGGTGGACGTGGATAAGCAGCTGGAGCAACAGAGGGAGTTTGGAGTTTTCTTTGACGATAACTACAACTACCTGCAGCACCTGAAGGAGCCGTCGACCCCCTTTGAGCTGGTGGCTGCCCGCACCTCACACACTAAAACAGGGAAGACTCCTCTCAAGGATGAAGAGGAAGACAAAGATGATGATGAGGAGGAAGACGATGAGGACAAAGAGGAGGAGGTCATTGTCCTGACTGTAAGTGAACTCAGAAACATTCAAATCTCTCTCTAACGCTGCGTTCACACCGGACGCGATGCGGTGTT